CTTGATGGGCTTGCGGGCCTATAGTTGTTTCTTAACAAGCCCGTTGGTCCTCTAAAAGTTTTAATTTTATAAAACCCTAGTGTCTGCAAGTGCACAGATGTACGTTGTAGGACTTAGGGTGTCGATCCACAGAGAAGATGTCTAATCTGCAAGAAACAACAAACTGGGAAGTAAGCAAACTCATAAACCAATAAAAGATTTGGGGTTTTTGGTTAAGATCCTAAACTAAACCTAATCTATTATTCACAAGAGATGCAATGCAGGATGAATTGTTAAAAGAACATCTAAAGCATATCGACTCAAACTAAAGACTCTCAAACTCATAGGTGGAGATTTAGACTTCTCCGGTTTACTCTAATCGATGTATGGTGGCATTTCCAATTATCTTCCGGGCGATTTATCTTCATCTGTTTCTGCGAATCTGCATTGAACTAGAATAAACACATGTATGATTAACCAATTGTCGTCACCTTAATCAACTAATCTCTTAGATCTAACAATTAACTATCGCTCTCATGCTAAACTTAAGATCATGCATTGAACATTGAATTTGTTTGCCCACATCTTCTCTATAGGTAGCTTTCGACTCCTATAGCGACTATGTTCTTCTGAAGCTAGGTACGGATGATCTGATATAGCACTCTCGTGGGTCTGATCGATCCTAGGCTCAGAGAATAGGTCATGAATCTACTCTCATGCTTTACAAATGACTTAGAAGAGATGAGATCCAGAATATGGCTAAAAACAATAGAAATCCTAATCGATATATATGCTATTCGATATCTTCAAACAACTTGACTCTCTGGGACTAATCTACATGATGCAATGAATGATGAAAGACATATAAAAATGCAAAAGAATGAAACAGAAAAGTTAATAAGATGAAAAAGAGGAAGAACAATTGATCTGGGGAAGAATCCCCATCTCCATCGCCTAACCCTAGAAAAACAAAGTTTGGTGGCTCAAAATCTCATTACAGGAGCACACACCCGTTTAGGGCTCCTAAACAATGTATTTATAGGTCCTAAAGTCTTCCAGGTCTCATTTAGGGCTTTTCTGAAGAGAAATGGCAAAGTGGGCTTTAATGTTGGGTTTTGTGGCTCGTCCTAAGGTCCACCAGGGGTGAGAGTCTTCCAGGGCAGGTAAAACATGTGTTTCCCATGGGTGAGAGTCTTCTGGGACTGGTGAACTGGGTCAACTTGTTCTCCATGTATCTTTTGATTGCACCGTTGGATATTTGTGATGCAAAGTGCTATGGAAATCTGGTTGTCTCCTCTTGATTGTCTCCAAATTTGAGCTGGAACGGACGGTGAGAAAGTCTTCATTTGAGGCTGAACTTCTGACGGTCTGACTCTGAGCTAAAAATGTGGATTTCTTTCATTTTGCCATCATATTCCCTAAGTTTTTTGAAAAGAGCCTTGAAATTACAAATAAAATCATAATAAAAGTTCCTAAAACAAAGTAAAACCTTTGAAAAAGCAATTCAAATCAATGGTGAAAAGTGGTCAAAATCAAGTGTTATCAACTGTATCTCGCCATATCAGCCAAATTCTACCCAACTGATGATGATCATAATTGTTTAAAAACGACCACCCTGGAAAAACCGCAGAGACTATTTCCTCCGCTATACTTTCTTGAATCCGAATTTCAAGCAATGCACCAAAAAAAAATTATTCTCTTTACACCACATCCTCACCACATTTTGCTTCCTTTTTTATTGAAACCTCTAATGTTCCAGAAGAATCCAAACATTAATGATGAGGTTTTCTAGACTTGTTTTTTTTTTCTTGTTCATCTTACACGAACTCGATGATGAGGCTGAGCAATGAACAACATTAACAAACTTGTGGGACGATTTCGATCCTCGAGGCAGGGAGACTCTGCGGCCTGCAATCTGCTTGGATTTATCCTCCACCTTGTGTTGTCTAGTTTCTGCATTATTTGGTAGTGCCTCCCCTGTAGGTTGAGCTTCTACCTCCTCATTACCATCTCCCTCTGGCTCCTTCTCCTGTTCCGCAATAGATGCATATCGCAAGCCTGAACTCTGCACTTCATCTACCTCTGCTTCTACGATAACCTTTTTTTACTTTCCTCCTTGCCGTAGACTGAACCTCTTGCCGGTTATCAAAAGAGTCTGATGCACTTCTCTTATCTCCAGCGTCTACTTTAGTCCCCAAAGGTGTTTCTGCAACATTCTCCTCCGACTGAGTTACCAGATCCTCTTTTGTTTTGCTCGGGGAATTGACTTGTTCCACTGCCACATTGCTTCTATCTGGATTGCGTCTGAAGTAGCCTCATGCGTTGGAGTTCTAGGTTCCCTTTGCAAGATCACCTTGTCTCCTGGCATTGCCTTGCACTCTGCAATAACATGACCCCATTTACCGCATGACATGCATCAAGGAGGCAGCTATGGGAACTCATAATATACGATCGTTTCCACCACTGTTCCTTATTTGAGACTGAAATACTCCGGCAACTTTTACTTCAGATTGACCTCAACAAAAACCCTCGTCTCCTCAAAATTCTTGGCCCACAACGTATCCGGATGAAGCTTCTTTGGTTCCGGACTCGTAAAAAAGCTTAATCCTTTCCATGTGAACATTGTTCTAGGAACATTCCGTAGAACTATCCACATTGAAATGCTGGGAGTTGGAATCGAGGACTGTCTGCATATCGAATTGAGTACAATAATAGCAAGAAGTCATGAGGTTTGTTTTTCAAAAAATTTTAATGCGATTACCCTTGCATTGCATTGAGTTATATTTCCTTAGATAGTTACTATATTTCTTTTTCTCTAGATTAGGATAGTTACTATATTGTCTCTTTTTCTAGGATTTGGATTAGGTTATCTCTAGCAATGTATATATAATGAAATGTTATTAATTTTACCCTAATTTTTATTACACGTCTTTAATCAACTTTCTTTAACTGTGTTGCCAAATTTTCCCACTAATTGAGAAGCGCTAAAAAAATCCTAAATATTTATCCATCTCCTCCACTCCCTATCAAAACCGTTCACTTCCCTTTTAATTGAAGTGATTTGTTTTTTTTTTTTCAGTTTCCACACTTCCCTTTAATTGAAGCCACTTGTTTGTGTTTCAGTTCTGAGATCTCATTTGAAGGTAATTCTATTAATACTGGATTTTTAGAAGTTAATCTAGAGTTGAATTCCTCTCTTGAATCTGTGATCCTCTCTTGAATCTGCTGTGTAGATATGGAAGAGCCATATTTGGATTATACAACTTTACCTTTGCTGCATCTTAGGTATCAAAATAGAGCTAAATGGTATGGAACTTTTTGGGACTTCTCTTATCTATAGATATCAAAAATAATTTGGCGTACTCTATCCGAAACAAACAGAATACGAGGATTTATAATTAAAATCTTGTAGGTGTGCACGAAAGAATGAATATTTAATGAACTAATCCTGATATTTTGACGAGACTTGGAAGCTAGATCTAATTGTGACCATCATTACGTTAGTAAGTAAAATAGTGTACACTACGTAGGTATATTCGGGGAGAACACAAGTTCTCCACATTGATAGGAGCAATAAAATGACTAGAACACAAGCTTGTATTAAATGACTAGAATTAGTCTTTTATCATTTATTTTTTTGGTTTTTTATTTTAGGCTGCTGCAGCTGCTTCTGGGTTTTCTAAACAAAATCTTATTTTTGGATTTAAAGCACTAAGTATGGTTTTATCATCGGTTGATGCCTCTCCAAGTCAAGCAAAACCTTTTGAACAAGCAGAGTTGATAACACATTGTTTGCAAGAATTAGAAACTGAACTGAAACGGAGCTGGAAGAAAATCTACAAATTCAGAAAATGCTTGAATCTATGGAAAAAATTTGTTGAGTCCTTTGCAAATCAGAATGCAGAGATCAAATTCCACCACATCCACCACCAAGCAAATCCAAGTAATCTAGTTATAGTTCTAATTATTTTTTTAGTATTAGTTTGTATTTTATCGAGTTATGTTTCTTACTTATCTGGACTTTAACCTCATATACTCTTTTTCAGATTAAAAAATTTTACACACTCATCTTTTATTCTACATACTCCTCTTATTTTCTCCTTCTTTTTTACCCATTTTTTTTAAATGGACCCCATAAATTTTTTACCTCTTTCTCTCTCTTTAAACCAAACCAATCCCACACCAATTAATATTGGTTTTAATTCAGACTCATCCAACCCAACCACCAAACCACAATCAATTTTAAAGGGATACACTCTTCTTCTTCTTTCTTTCCTCCTCTCTCGTTATGTAAAAAAAAAAACGAGTTTTCTTCCAAAACTCTGGAAGCTTCAGCGATCTGTAACTTTCGACAAACACATATCTGACAGCGTTTCTTCAGCTGCTCTCGACGACCCTGAATGTTATTTGAAGGTAAATTCTTCCCATTTCAACAAAAAAAACGAGTTAGGGTTAAAAAATTATGTTTGTGATTTTTTCTGTTAGTAAACTTTATGTATACGTCTATTCAGGCTTTACATTGGTTATTTAAGTAGATTATAGTACTAGAATACCTATGAATCTTTCGGAATCGTCGATCTGAATCGATATATTCTATAAGTAACCAGAAGCTTTTAGTACCACTAGTATTACTTAGACAACTGGTGCAACTGGTACTACTGGTGTAAAAAAACGAGGTTATGCGTTTAGGGTTTAGAAATTATGTTTGTGATTTTTCCTGTTAGTAAACTTTATATATACGTCTATTCGGGCTTTACATTGGTTATTTAAGTAGATTAGAGTACTAGAATACGTATGAATCTTTCGGAAACGTCGATCTGGATCGATCTATTCTATAAGTAACCAGAAGCTTTTAGTACAACTGGTATTACTTAGACAACTGGTGCAACTAGTACTACTGGTGTACAACGATAAATATTTTCTAATGGTTTTTATTTTTCTTTAAGGGAATGATGAGTAACACTCGATGCACAATCATATGTTTTGATTCGGGGGGATGTTATTCAAAGGACGGTGAATACATGAGGTGGAACTCAGAAGAGGTTGAAATTCATACTTTAGTGATAAAGACATCTATGGAGGAGATCACTTACAATGGACTGGTTGATAGAATTTGCAAAAAGCTTATGGTAGATGGAGCTATGACGCAGCTTAGACTTAGCTATTTTCCACTGATATTGGATCCCAAGAAGCCATCATATGTTCGGAATGATGGCAAGGTTTATCTGGTTGATATGAGAAATAAAAGTTGCAGTTATGCAAGACGTTTGATATCGACAAGTATCCGTGTGTGCATGCAATAGCAGCTGCTATCTTTATGAGTGGGGAGAGGGAGCTCCATCTACGTGAATTTTTCTCCCATTATTATTGGATGGAACATTGGTCGTTGGCTTACTGCAGGACGATCTATCCAGTCCCCCATAAAGATGACTGGGTTGTTCCTGACCTTATCCGAGCAAAATGTATATTTCCTCCAGAAATAATTAAGAAAAAACGACGCATCAACACAATTAGGCATCCATCAGTTGGAGAACATCGAGGGAGAGGAAGAGGAAGAAGCGGAGGAAGAGGAGGAGGAAGAGGACTAGGAGCATGGTTGTTTAATGATCCTAAATTACCAGAACAAGAGGAAGCAGAATAGGAATCGCTGGTGATGTTTAGGTACAACTAGTATAACTATCAGGTACAACTAGTGTGTACTTGAACTTCTTTTTTTTCATTTTTTCGTTATTTAAAATACCGCATTTCGGAAAACAGTATGTGTTTAAAGACTCTATTTCATATTTATTTTGATGAAGTAAATCCAACTTGATGCATTTTTGAATATTGAGAACATAAAAATCATATTTTCATAACATCTACCTTATACTTCTATGGCAACTATTACAACTAATGCTATATAGTTATAAGAAATTAACAAAAAACATAATTTTATACATTTTATTATATATATGTTTCTTAAATGTCTTATTATTACCTATTTTCAAAAGTGCAACTAATTTCTAGTACAATATAACTAATAAAATTATTTTATCTATGAAAGTACAACTCTGTGTAATAGAACAAAATAGAGTACACTTGGGTACAACTTTGTGTATTATTTGACGGCACAACAAAAGTAATTAATTATTTTTATAATTATTTTGTCGGCGCTCGTGCAATTTGACGGCGCACATGTGGCTTTTTTTTTAGTTTTATATAATTATAAAAAGAATATTTTCTATTATTATATTATTATATTTAAAGTTTCTTTTTTTAAGTGTTAATCAATACTATTTATAAAGGTTTATAAGATTATTTATAAGAGTTTATAAAAATTCTTATAAGGGTTTATATATCTAAATAAAAGTATGTTATATCAAAATTCTTCTATAAAACTACTAAAACATTTAGTACAACATATCCATAAAGTCAAAAATCAAAACTAACAAGCAAATATTCAAATTATGTAATCAAAATTATATTTAATAAAAAAATAAAATTAAAACAAAAATATAGTATGGTACATTAAAGTTCTTCTTTTAACTATTAAAACATTTAGTACAACATATTCATAAAGCCAAAAATCAAAACTAACAAGCAAATATTTAAATTATGTAATTAAAATTATATTTTAAAAAAAAATGAAAGTTAACACAAAGAGATAGTGTGGTATATTAAAGTTCTTCTATAAAGCCATTAAAACATTTAGTAGAACATATCCATAAAACCAAAAATCAAAACTAACAAGTAAATATTTGTGTATAATTTGTAAATTAAAAAATAATGACTGTTGTTTGTAATTAATAACAAAATAAAAATTATATATTTAAAATATTTTTATTTTAAGAAAAAATATTATGTTATAATTAAATTTTTGTATCACTAAAATGATTTATACAGAATATTAATGTTATATTTATTTTTAGTTACAGATTTAATCAATGAATAAATAACAAACTAACAACACCAGTTGTACGCGATAATACCAGTTGTACTAACCAAAAAAATCTGAAAACATAATTGAATTAATAAACCTTCTACTGGTTTCTGAATCCTGTTTCACCAAACATAAAATAATAAACCTTCAACTTTTAACATAAATCATCTACTAGTTTCACCAAAAACCATCAACTAGTTTCACCAAAAACCATCAACTAGTTTCAACAAAAACCAAAACAAACTTGTTTCTTCTACTTCTTTTTTGCAGCCTCTCGTTTCTTCCTTTCTGTTGGTGCATCATTTTCGAAAGGAGTGGATATATGCCTCGATGGTTTACCCTTTAAGCCTAGAAAATACCTGTTCGGCGACGACGGAAGAGTGAAAACGGAGCTGCGTTGAAGTTTTTTCTCTGTAGATCGAATTGAAGAGAATGAGTGGAGATTTCTGGATTTAAGTCGAAAAGAGAGGAGTCGTGTTTGTTCGGGACTGATCGAACAGGAATGAGAAGATGGAATTGATTCACGACTGATGAGAGTTGCTCGTCGATGGCTCAATTTAGAGTTTGTTCATCGTGAGTTGAAGAGAGTTATGGAGGAATGAGGGATTTTTTAATTTTGGGATGGTTTAAACAAATTAAACCGGTTATTATTGATTGATATTGGTTTAATTGGTTATTTAAATTGGATCTGGGTCTGGGTCTGGATAGTTTGATTTAGAGAGATTGGATCTGTAATTCTGCATTTTCTTTAAGGGTTTTTATGTCTTTTTTATGCTTTTTCGTATTAAAAAGAAAATCAAAAAGAAATGGAAGATTGAGGGAGTATATGAGAATGAGAGATTTAAGGGAGGAGTATTTGAGGTTAAGGTCCTACTTATCTTTAGTATTGTTTTTTTTTGGTATTTTACTAAGATTATTTCCTTTAAGTTTGTTTGTGTAACTTTGTTTTGGATGTTGGTTGGTTAATTAATATTATCAATTGCTTATTATATATTTGTTTGATAGTTTATTGTATATTATTTATTATATAAGAAAATATGGCTATAATTAAATTAGAAATATTTTATAATTTTGTGACAATTTGTAAAAAAAAACGTCACCATATAATTAATTTGTGACAATTATGTGATTATTTCTTGTCATAGTTTGTGACCTAGTTGTGATAGTATTAGTCACTAAATTATGTTGTTTTATGACTTTAGTTTCATCACTAACTAGACTTGTATCCGCGCATACGCGCAGATTTTGTTTCACATAATATTTTAAAAAAATGTGTTTGTGTTGATATATATATATATATATAGTTAATTATAAGAATATGATAATTTATTTGATTGTTTAGTATTAGGTTTTTTAAAAATAAATTCTTTGTAAAACAAATAACTTTTTTAAAGGATTTTGAAATATGGTAATTAGGAAAATTATTCTACTATTCTAAAAATTATAAACATGTTATAAGTAAAAAAGACGTAGATAAAAGTCATATTTTTTTGGTTGAATTGCTTGAAAACATATAATTACCTCCAATTTTTAATGTTCTCAAATTTATGACATGTACAATTGCCTAGATTCTGCAAAAACCACGCTATACTTTATGTTTCACAATAAAATGCAGCTATAATAATATCATATTTGACCCATAAAAACCGCCAAATCTTTGAATGAAGATAACGCTACATCTTTACATTTTTTCATACAACAAGCTTCGAAAAAAGTGTTTATGATAAGGATAAGCCAGAAGAAAAGTATCAAGTTAGTATAAAAATTATTAAAAATTTTTAGACGAATACCAAAAAGTTAGAAATGTAAAAAGTTAAAAATATTGTTTATTTATTTTTGTTAGAAATGTGAAAAGCCTTAATATTAATGTAACTTAATAGTTATGAACATAAATACATATGAAATAAATATTAAATAGAATAGTTAAATTAGAAGTAGTGGTATTAATTAGTTTTTAATTTTCTATTTTAAAATTTATGATTTATTAATTAGTTGAAAGGACATGTGTCCTCTATTCAAATGTTGATGTGGCAGCATGATGGAGAGAGTTCACCTAAAATCATATATATGATTGTGACGGGTTATGTGAAACTATTTTGGTCGCAATTTATGACAAATTTGTGACTTAAATATAGTAATAATTTGTGATAAATATGTGATAATTTTTTTGTCACAATTTGTTATGTAATTGTAATAGTATTTTTGACACGAATTATGTCGTTTTTGTAACTGTTTAAATTTCGTCACAAAGTGTTACACGAGTTGTTACCGTTCTTATTCGTCACAAATTGTTATAACGTTTTTGTAACAGAAATAAGTTTGTGACAATTGTATTGTGATATTTTCGTCGCAATAGAAAACTTGTGAATATATATATATATTATTACATAAAATGTTGTAATAATAATCAATTTTTTTTAGTGTTGGCACTGTAATCTCCGGTTGTGCTGCTTCCACTACAGAACTCCACTTTGAAACAATCATTGGAATATCCAATGATTTTAATGCTCTACATTCCATGTTGCAAAACTCTTTTCCTGATTGATGCATCAGGAATTTTAAATTTCACGGTGGTTCCATCCACCACAAATACGTCTACTTTGATCGATTGATCTCTCAATAGATCTTGTTCACCGTCATATGGATCATACCCACATAAGGTGCTTTAGACACAAACTTCTTTACAATACAATCTTCCCATAAAAGAGGGGCGTTTTCAAATACACTAGCATGAACTCTGATCGTTTCCACTCCTGTCTACTTCCTCCACCACAATCTCATATCTCTGCAGTCAATCCTTATCAGCTGCCACCGATGACCAGGATCTTCCTCTGTTCACTTTATCTCCCTCATCTGCCGCAACAATCGCTGGTGCACTCTCTGTCACCTCCCGAGCCTTCTTCCCACGTTGTTGATTTTCCATTACCACCTGCTCCACCAGTGCTTCTTGGATATCCTCCACCAGCTTCTCGCCTTTCTCTGTGGTACCACTTGTTCCAGCGCCGTCATGCCGTTTGAGCCCTAGCTTGGGCTGAAATCCACCAGAAACCTTAGATCGCCCTTTGTGTCGCCTCTCCTTGCTGACGTGTCGCTTTGAGGACAGAGAGTTGTTGCAACGGTGCTCGTTCACCAATTAGATCCACTAACTTCCCAATGGAAGTACAGTGATCTAACACCAAATATGAAACAGCACCATATATTAACATAAATCATCAAATAGCAATAATTAAAAATAGAAGAAGTGTAATACGTATGGTTGAGTTATCGGTTATTACCTTTGGTTTTAGTGTATTTAATCTTCCTTTGTATCACATTCCCTTGAATGAAGGTTTATGATTTTTTTCCCAATTGTGATTTCTCCCTAACGTTATCTCATGGAGAATCTTGTAAAATTCTTTATATGTCTTTTTGCTGATCTGTTAGCAATTCGTTGCATCTCATCTTTCCTCAAGGCATGAAAGCTCGTGGATGGTGGCTCAAAAGAATCACCGCACTAAGTCGATAATGTTCATTTCAATCTTATATGTGATTATGGTGGCTCAAAAGAATCACATACATCTCGCTGTCTTTTTTTTTTTTTTGGCAGGGATAACAATATAGGTTACCCAAAGAAGTATGAGTTGTATGATATCTCCTAAAATTGTAATTAATGGGTCAATTTCAACTCCAAGAACTTGAGACAGGAGAAAGAAGTATTTAATCTATTGTTATTCTAACTCTGCTTTGTTTCCTAACTTTCACTGTTTTGACAATGGTTTGGTTTGTCTCTCAAGATAACCATTAATAACGTCCTCTGTAATGATTTGAATCTATCCAGTAAAAAAAACCTTAATAGAAAACCTTTTTTTTTTGACAACGATAAATCTTTTTTGATTTCCTTTTAAGGTTTTTTTTTTTTTGTTTTGATAATGGTTTGTCTCTCAAAGAAAATCTTTTCTTTTTTTGGACAACGATATATCTAAAAAAAAATAAAACAAACAAACCATACACATATATTGTTCTTCCAAGTCTTGGGTTTTACAAAACAGAGACGTAATGAAGAAAGGAAACGAATATTATCCAATAACAAATTCACCAGGTTCCTTTATGATCACAACATTATCCTCTATAAAATCGGTACTTGCATTCCTGTTCGCATCGGCGACACAACGTCTTCATTCCACCGGAAAAAAGTCCGGGGACGTCAATAGATCTAGTGGTGGACATACTTAAAAAACTCCCTCCAAAATCTCTTGTGAGGTTCCGATGCGTCTCGAAGCAATGGTCATCAATTATTAACAGCCGCAGAGACCTCCTTGACTCAATCGTGACTCCTTCTTTGGCTCAGCCGCAGCGTACACACATCATCTTCCATCACTGTACGGATAAACCTTTCTTCACCTTCACGTCAACTAACCAAAAGATCGCTGATACGAATCAATACTCTATTGAGCTTTTCTAAGCCCATGTCCAACTCCCCCTAATTAGTATGATATTGTCCGCTTTGAGCCCATTTGGCAAACCCCGCACGGATTTGTTTTTGGACTCCTTCCCAAAAAGTCTCATACTAATTAGAATTGGACATTACTTATATACTAGACTATATTGGTCTAAACTTCCGATGTGGGACTTTGGATTGATTCCTAACATATTCATCCCTACATTAACGCGATCAGACACTTATCTACGTCCGCGGTTTGATTCTTTGTTGGTCACACGGTTATGCTTCGATTGCTATATACAACCCTACCACGAGACAGGCCCTTTGCTTACCGGAGCAGAAGTCCATGCACCTAAAGAGGAACACTTACTTCTTTGGATACGACCCTCTCGAGAATCAATACAAAGTTTTGAGCCTACGAGAACAGTGTATGGAAGCTTGTCAAGTTTTCACATTGTCAGTTCCAACGGCTACAAACAAGTGGAGAAACATAAAAGGCATTGGACATCACTATCCAATAATACCTGCTATTTGCATCAACGGGGCTATCTATTACAGAGCAAGGACTAAAGAATTTTGTCTTACATATGTATTGATGAGTTTTGATATTAGGTCTGAGAAGCTTGATCAGGTCAAGGCTCCTGAAACACTGAGGAATCACCGTTCTAGTCTAATTAACTACCATGGGAACTGGGAAGTTAGGATTCATGTGTTGCCAGAAGGGCGTTGAAATTTGGGTTATGGAGCATACTGAGAAGACACAAGAATGGTCCAGGATTTTCTTTTACGAGCAGATGGTGGATTTCAAATATTGGTCGGGCACGGGTGTTACTCATGGTGGTGAGATAGATTTTGTCACTAATCGGGCCCGGTATGATAAGATAAAACCAACGGTAAGAGAAAACAGAGTAACAAGAGGATCAATGTTCGAATAAACATGGATTCTCGTTCTCACAGCTAAAGAATCCGTGGAAGAAGAATGAATTCTACGGCGAGCTTGAGCAAACATACCAACAGAGAGAAAATAGAGAGAGAAAGTACTTTTTTTATATGATAATATTCTGCAGAGGTTTTACAATCCCCATATAACAATACCGTTCTGCTTTTTACATCGAATACGACAAATTTAAAAGATAAAATATCAAAAGCAACGTAAAAGTATCTTCCCACATGGCTGCTGACGTGGATTAATTCATTTTCTGTATCAAATCTTCCCCTTTCAAGAGAACCTTGTCCTCATGGTTTAAAATCTGGAAAACGGCGAAGTAACTCAAAGAGTATCTCCCACGTAGCTTCTTCCACCGGCTGTTTAGTGCACTTAACCAAGACCATTATTGCCGCCTTTCCCTGACGCTTAACCATCTTCCGTTCCAGTATACGTTCAGGTTCAGTCACCAACACATCTTCGGGTGCATCAGGAAGGTGAGTAGAAGTGGTGACATTACCAACACGAAGTTTCAGTTGAGAAATGTGGAAAACCGGATGGATTTTTGAAGAGGGTGAAAGTTCCAACTTGTAAGTGACCTTTCCACAACGATCCAGAACCTTGTAGGGACCAAAGTACTTCGGAGAAAGCTTCTGATTCGGACTCATGACCACTGATTGTTGTCGGTATGGCTTGATGTCGAGCAAAAGCGGGGTTATTGTTTTCGTTTTACTAAGCTTCAGGTTTTAAATTTATAACCCCTAAATGTCTGCAAGTGCACAGATGTGCGCTGTAGTACTTAGGGTATCGATCCACAGAGACTTAGTTGTTTCCGTACGAATTCACTGCAACGCTTAAATCAGACTAGAACTAAACAGGTTTTGGTTTCGGTTTTTGGTTGTCACTAAATCTAAACTAGAAAGCAAGTAAAAACTAAAGAGCAATTGAAAACGAAAGCAAATAAAAGCAAGTAAAATCGATTAAACAAAAGCGAATGAAGGCAAGTATATAGCGATTGAAAAGCAAATAGAATTGAAGGTTGTAAGCAATTAAAGACAAACGTTGGGGCTCAAGGGGTTTCGCAGGGGTTCATGGACTAAGCTATGTCGATTTTAAATAAGTGATAAAGGTAATCAACTACGTATGTTCTAGAACTCAAGGCACGGAAGTATGAATAGCCTACTTTCGCAACACTAAACAACTATCTCTCGCAACCCTTATCAGTAGGTTTCCACTCTGATTCTGGAAGGGAGAAGATGCAATAGCAGAACAAGACTCATCAATATTCACAACTCAAGTACAGGTAGGTTTCCAATCCTATAGAAAAATTGCTCGTTTCACCCTAGTTCAGACAATCAATGAAAGCTTTCGCAACATATCATATCAGATCGGCTTCTAAGTGGCCAACAGAGAATCACGCAGTAAGATTAAAGGCAAACAAAGAACATCTAGAAGATTATAAATCCTAAATCTATCGATTCATAAGCAAAGACACATGAAATTCCTTTTGAAAAATCCCTTTAAACCCAACTGGGTAACTACTCAAACATATTGTAACAAAGCATCATAAACGAAATTGAAAGTGCAGGAAACTAAAGAAAAGAAGGAAGAAAAACGAAGAACAGAGTTGCAGGTGGAGGCGCGATAATGCTCTCCAGCGGCGGCTCCTTCTTCGGGATCGACGGCGGCGGCTCCTTCTTCGGGATCGACGGCGGCGGCCTCCTCTCTAGGGTTCCACGAAATCTCTCTCTCTTTCTATCTTATGTCGTCTCCTCACCTTTAGGAATGATCTAAAGGGGGTATTTATAGCTTCTGGGGTGGTTGTGGACACTTAAGGCTTCAAAAATAACGAAAGGAATTGATCTGGGCTTTAATTAAGTCGTCGGGAAAGTGAATGACCAAGTTCCGCGGTCGCTGTGGCTCTACCCACGGGAAAATGGGTGTTGGCCGCGGTCCCGGCTCGTGGTCTTCTTCTGGAACTGCATTTTCTGTTATTCTTGCATCGAGAGTATCTGAATATCTAACCGTTGGATTGTCTCCAAACCAAGTGCATTAGAAAGCTGGTTGGATCCTCTATGTTGTTTCAAATTTTGGGGGTGATCAGACAGTGAGAAGGTTTTCATCGCTTGTCATACTTCTGACGGCCTGCATTTATCCAAAATTGCTCATTTGTTCCAAATTGCATATCTTTTGCCCAAGTTTCCTGTAAAGTCTTTTGAAACTCTAAAACATTGAAAACACTTTAAAAACCATAGAAACCATAGTTAAAACACCTGCATAAGATACAATTATGATCCATAAAAGTGGTCAAAATACGGTGTTATCATGGCTGCAGCTTCACATAAACAAAGTCTCCAATCTCCAACTCTCGTTCAGTCCTGTGTTGATCTGCGAATTGTTTCATTCGATGCTGAGCCCGTAAGAAATGAAACTTCAGAATCAACATCATTCTCTCACGTTCTTATAGATTCTTAGCAACAACAGCAACTTTAGATTCACCCGGGAGATAAGGCAAATGTTGAGGTGGTGTCTGACCATAAACTGCCTCGTAAGGAGTCATGTCGATGGAAGAATGGTAATTAGTGTTGTACCAGAATTCTGCAAGTGGCAACCATTTACTCCACATCGTCGGTCTGTCACTGCACATACATCGGAGGTAACTCTCCAAGCAACGGTTAACAACCTCAGTCTGTCCATCACTTTGGGGATGATGGGCGCTCGACATCTGAAGAGCAACACCCTGCAATTTGAAAAGAACCTGCCAAAACTCGCTCAAAAAGACTGCATCTCTATCACTTACGATCAACTGAGGGAGGCCATGTAGCTTGTAAACATTGTCAAGGAACGCTTGAGCCACAGAGAGAGCCGTGTATGGATGAGACAAGGCCACAAAGTTAGCTGCTTTACTCAACCTATCGACGACCACCAGAATTACAGACTTGCTGAATGAAAGAGGTAAACCATCAATGAAGTCGAGAGAGATGTCTGTCCAATTGGTCTCAGGAATAGGCAGAGGCTGCAAGAGACCAGGGTACACAGAAGTGTTGTACTTGCATTTCTGACAGACATCACAACTCCTGATAAAGGTCTGAATATCCTTGGACATGCCCTTCCAGTAGAATAATCCTTTAACCCGTTGTAGAGTAACTTCCCTGCCTGAATGACCCCCGGAACCTGAGCTGTGTAACCAGTCCAGAATAGCACGAAGAACTCCATTATGAGGGACAACAATCTTACTTTTACGGCGTAAGATGTTTTGTGACCACGAGAAGTGTTTCTTAGCCTTTGGATCTTTAGATAGAACTGTGATCAATTCCTTAACTGCAGGATCAGTGTCCTAACTTGCTTGAATCTGCTTCATCAGATCACATTCAAGCATCGTCATAGCCATATGGAGGACCTCTGAACCGTCGACACGAGAAAGGACATCAGCGACCAAGTTATCCTTGCCTTGTCGATACTGTATTTCATAGTCGAATTCCAGCAGTTTGGATAGCCACTGTTGTTGAATAGGAGTGTTCAATCGCTGCTCAAGGAGGTATTTAAGACTGCGTTGATCAGTTTTGATCATGAAATGACCAGTAAGGAGGTAGTGGCGCCATTTCTGTACAGCAAAAACAACAGCCAAAAGTTATTTTTCATAGATGGATAAGGTCAGTTGTTTTCCTGATAAGTGACGGCTGATATATGCAATAGGATGACCTTCTTGCATCAAAACTGCGCCTATACCATAACCACTGGCATCTATTTCCACGACAAAAGGCTTATCAAACATAGGCAAAGCAAGAACCGGAGCTTCACATAAGGCTTTCTTCAATTCTCCAAAGGCCTGATCTGCCTCAGGTGACCAAACAAAAGAGTCCTTCTTGGTAAGAGAAACAGCATGAGATATGGAGACTGACGATATTGATCCGGCGGAAATAAAGTATAGAGATATTTTAGTAAAAGTTGACACAGATCATGTCGAGAATACAATGTGTTTGTATTAGTTAAGAATTTCTTGATATATGTAGCTATTAATTATGGTTATATAAAACCTAGAAAGAGGGTGATTTCTAATAGGAATGTAAACATGACGTACGATATGGTTCTTTAGACTTAAAATAGATTTTGCCCAAGTTGTATTTGCAACATTGTTTTATTTATGACTTTATTTCAAGAGGAAAATTGAAAACTTGCTCACGGGAACCAATCTATATACTGAACCGAACTAAATCAAATCATATTAACTAGGGTTTGAGTTTATCAATTAACCGAATTTTTGTAGAGTCGAGGTTCTTTAAGTTATTAGTAGTTGAACATTGTGTGTTCGAGGATATATTTGGTCGTTAAATTTGTTGATCTTTGATGGCAACACAAAAAGCCCATATCAATATCACGTTGTTTTCACTGTCGAAATGCTATTACAATTCATTGAAATTCTTCTACTAAGTTTTTTTTAAGAGTCAATTTCTGTTGGATAAGTATCATATCATATCTGTCTAAAGTCTAAACAAAAATTCTTTTACCGCCACATAGAATTAATCTCTTCTACTTAGTTTTTACCTTTTAGTATTCAGTTAAATCCTCAGGCCAACAAGACAATAGAACAATGCAGAGATGCGTATGCCATTCCTGTTCTGTCTTCGAAACATCCCTTGTACATCAATTACCTATTCATGTCCACTTTACCATGAAAATAGATAACTCAAAACCATTGTACCATAATAACTGACGAGAGTTTATGAAACACCATTAGTACGCTAATCCAAAAACATCGGTTCTCATAAATACTCAAAACATGTTTGAAGAAATCAAAAGGCTTCAAGCAAAGAAGAACAAATTCTAAGCAGCACCCTTTCCCTTCTTCTTCTGGATCTTTTTCTGGTAGAACTCTAACTCTTTACCTTCCAGAATGTATCTGCACAAAATTTTACAAGAAAGGGACCATGAACAAAAATTAATTCATGAGATTCTAAAAAAAAAGAAACAAGTGGATCAAGGGGCTCGTGATAAATACCCATCAGCACGCCCACACTGGCCTGGCCTTGAAGAGATACAAGCCAACAAACGACCACTTGCAAATTGGTCCTCAATGTGGGAATCAAGACTACGACCCTCTTGACGCTGCTCAATCTTTCTCAAGACATGGTTGCTCTTCTTGGTCTCCTCAGGTGCAGCAGCTGGGGCTGAAGCATCTTCACCGTCCTGTCAGGGATGAGAATAAAAAACTTGAGACTCAAATATCATACAAGTCAAGGAATCAGAGCCCAAGAGACAAAGAATGGTCTCACCTCTCCTTCCTTCTTGGTAGCAGAACTAGCATTCTTCTTCTTGCGACCAACTTCAACACCATAGTGCTGGAGATACCACTGCTTGAAGGGAGCAGCATCAACCTGTACAATAGCACTCTTGACAAGTGTCTTTGTACGGACCAACTCGTTGTTGGATGCATTGTAGACCACATCAAGGACTCTGGTCTTACGAGTTACTGCTTCACTTCCCCATGAGTAGTTACCAGTATCAAGCCTCAACGCACGCCACTTGACATTACCTCCACGAACCCTGATTCTTCTGACCGTCTTGTTGCTAGACAACTTGGTGTTGGCAGGTTGCCTTCCCATCTCATACCTTTCAAAAACCAAAACACAAACTTAACAAATCAGAAGTATACTACAAAAGAGTCCAAGGTATCATGTATCAGAAGCACAAGAATTGTAGACAAATACAACAAATTAAACAAACACGCCACGATCAAGTCAATGTTTCACCAATTAAAGTTTTGAACTTTATAAGAAGAAATGATTCGCTCAACATTACAGTTTAGAGAATAGTCGAAATTCTATAAATGATTAAAGAAATTGAACAGAAATTAAGAACACGGATCAATGAAAACAAACACACGGATTAACAGATCACAACTAAGCTTTATATTTTCTACTTTCTCGTTGCACAGTTTCTTAATCGTTTGTAAACAGAGCAGAAAATAAAATATATACAAAGAGATCTGAAAATTGGAAACTTACTTTCGCTTCTTCCTCCATTGCTTCTGCTTGCCTCCAGTGGCACGCCTCTTGTGGATGGAGTCACGAGAAATACCTAACAAAAGTATAATGTTCCATGTGAGATTCTAGCTCCAGACATTCAATACTATACATAGAAAAGAAGGGAAAGAGATCAATCGGATAGAGAGAACGTTCGTACCCATGGTTGCCTCTTTAGGGTTTCTCCGAGAGAAAAAAGTATGACAGCGCCGACTTGAGAATTGATGACGAAGAGTTTATGTAAATGGAGTATGCGTCTCTATGAAAAAACCCTAGTAGCCACCCTTTTAAGGCCTGTTACTTCTCAAAGGCCCATATAATTTACTAGGGCCCGTCATAATTCAACAGAATTTTTTTGCTTTTTTTGGGTCAAGATTCAACACACAATTTTTAATAAGATAATTAAGTTAATAATCAAATTTCAATAATCAATGAAGATATTATAATTAAGCAATTAACATTTTTAGATATTATTAAGACTAGATGAGTACCCGCGCATGCGCGAAAATTTTTTCTGTTTAATTAATTTTTATTAAAAAAAAGTTAGTGTTAGACACATATTTTATTTACATCTTGGTTTTCTGATATGAATGTTTATGATGTATAAGTAAATATATCAATATATTTTTGGAAGTAACTTTCAGAATTATAACGTACTTGTGAATTAGCATATCTTAAAAAAAAGGAAGATAAAAATTATTTGCGACAAATTCTTTTTCCTTATAAATTGCGGCCAATGTTTCTTGGATTCTCCTTATCTAAGAGCCTTAGGACAGGTCCGGTCTTTAATTTTTGAAAGCTAATTCGATTTACCCACATGGTAACATTTTAACTTTTTGTTTTTACCCACATGGTAAAAATATGTGACAAGTAAATTTGCCTATTCAGATTTGGTGCTCCATTAGTGTCAAATTAATTTAGTTTTATTTTTGTCTTATATTATTGCATCTCTTGAATAACATATGCCTCTAGTGAAAAGCTTCTGAGCGTATACATTGATACAGTGCCGTGCTTAGACTCATCGAAGCTTTAGGCGAATCGAAAAAATGTGACTTTTTATTTGTGTAAATATTAAAATATAATATTATTATTTAAACACATTATTTAAACACATAATAATACTATTTTAATACATTTTTTATTTTCTTATCATATCATACATTATTATATCATACATTATTATAACAGTTGTCAACATATGTGGATCTATATCTATAAAAATGAAAGATATCAATAACAATATTATTGTTATAGGATTTTCAAAAGAATATCCTAACCATTTTTACCAAATTATATATAATAATAGCTATAAAACAATGTAGCTCTTATTTCTTTAATTTTGGTGTGGTTTTAGGCAAATGCCTAATTTCTATACGCACGGCTCTGCATTGATACCAGCATAACAATAATATTTTATATATCTATAAGCTGCGTTTTACACCAACTCTTTGGTAAATTTCTCATTTAACTAACAATTGAGAATTCCTACAGACAATTGCCTATCGGAGAGGATATAAACTTTGATTCCATAAAATATTGTGTCTGGCAGCTGTGAAGTTGGAGATTCCACTGCGTATAATCAATTAAGGGCGGGCATGGTAGACAGATGTTGCCTGACTTCTTTGAAACTTGAGAGAAGCATGTAGGTAGTAAATCCTTTCATCTGTGCAAATATAGAAACAAAACACAATTTGGAAATTTTCAAATTTTCTTTACTCAGAAACAACATGTAGAATACAGGAAATGTAACAACTCCTTTTACTTAGCTACAAAATGACAACTAAAATGCTAATATAACTCAGGCCTCTAAACTGAAATTTGTGCAGAGCAACATCACTCAGTTTATATCGTAAAAGGTCTAAAGAAGTTTCTGCATTAAACAGTTGAGAAGCTCGTAGACTATTGCAGAGATTCTTCGAAAAATCAAGAAAGATAGATAAATACTATTAATGTTTTGAAGTATATATTTCCTATTGCATTTTGGTTTGTCATTTCACCTCATTCCCCTTCTCAAGATAGATATTTGTGTTTAGTTGTGTTTGATACAATAAGAATTAAAAGAATAAAGATGAAGTGAGTGGGCTTACCAGCAACGATAATTCTTTGGCACTTGACAAAACCTACACTTCTCCGAATGTGGCATTGGAACAAGTAGTGTGAGCCAACAATGTCATACTCATGCCAAGATCAAGCCTAAAGGATAAGGAGCTAACTTGAGAGATGTGGTCAGTTAATCTTACCATTAAGTTAGCAGAGAAAGAAACGTATCAGTGCCATTCTTATTGCCTTTTGTTTCACAAAACCCTTTTCACTTCAAAGTAGCTCGTCTTATTCATAATTCTAGTATCACTAAGAGACAAATATGTGAGAGACTTCATACAACTACAAGAAGGAGTCCAACAGTGAAAGCCTAACCTTATCAGTCAGTATTTAGCCAGCTAACAATATTCAGTTAATCCTCTACCATAAAGATATTCATTATCCATCTACCTCTCTAGATCATCGTTGTCCTTTTTCAGGAGATTGTAACCAGCATTCATTTATATGGGTGAGTTGATTATGACTAAAGAACAGTACAACATAAGCTTCTGCTAAATGAGAAGTGATTTAAACGAGCAAGGTACAAATGTTTCGTGAACATGAGCCAAGGAATTCAAATATTGATGCTATTAAAAAAAAGAGATTATCATAGTTGGCGCTTTCTGATTTTTACAAAAATAGCTTTGGAAATAGAAAAGCAAACTCCCTAATTTGTTCCCGTCCATGAATTGTATTTTAGCGCAAACGGAATTGCCGTTGTGAATAATGGAAATCAGTTTGTTGCAGAGAGGATAACTTAGTCACTAAATCATATCTTTGAAAAGGTGAAATATATAACTGATGCATATTTTGACAGAGAAAATATCAAGCATTACCCATCAGACAAATGGGAAATTTAAGAAGAAAAGAAAGAGGAGGTCTGACCATATCCCGATTGTGAATGCTGGACGTAGCCACTCCCTCGTGAATCAGAGTATCTGGTTCCACTGTAATAAGTTAGTGAATAATTCTGAGATACTAATGGTATCAACAATAACAAAGCCTATCAGCCAACATCATAGACGGAAATTTGATGACCCTAAACTATGAAAATTGCTGGAAAAAAAATAATTTGATTCACTCCCATGTTTCTAAATTTATTATTCGCTCTAGCGATTTCGCAAAAGAGAGGACAAATTGACGTCATGATGGAAATACCTACCAGGAGATTGATTTTCTCTTCTTCTTTGTGTGTTACGTACTGGCGGAAAAAGAGAGGACCTTAAGCAATTGGGAAAGTAAATAAGGAAAAAAAACCCTATAAATCCAGATAAGGAAGACGAACTGATATTGGTTGCGAAAGATTGGGAAGTATAAATTAAAGTAGATGTTGTCAATAAGGGATTTTCATCCGTTAGAGAAGAGGAGGAGAAGACGAAGAGTTGCCATAACTTTATCTCAAAACGTCCCCAAAGAGAGAAGAGCAAGAAGCAACAAAAACAATTTTAGATGACACGTGGCACTCTCTCCCATGCTGATGTGGCGATCAGCTGGAGAGAGTTCAGCCTCTTTTATATATAAGATTACAAATGATTGCATCAAGATTAGATGAGTTGAAGAATTTTTTTCCTTCATGTAGTTTTTGCTCCATGTTTTATTTCTTTTTTTGCGAAGACAATAATCTTTAGATTTCACTTCTTTGTAAGAAATGATACTAGATTTTAATCCCGCATGGGAATTTTTTTGTTTTTTTGTATTTCTAATATAATTTATATTTAATTTTTTATTTAGATAAAATTTGTTTTTGTTATTTATTTTTTAAAATAAAAAAATTTTGTTATCATATTTTAACTTGAAATAGTATAGATTTGTATATTAGTATAATAAGAGTTCGAGTTAGTTAAGTATATATCGATCTAATGTTAATTATGAACTTTATTACTATGTGAATTTAGATTTACACATAAACAATCTATATATCTATGAATTGGCTAACCCGTCCGTTTAGTTGCCTCAAATTATTTTAAATACTAGTGTTATCTCCCGTGCTATGCCCGGAAATATTTTTGCCTAACAATAAAATGAAATTTACATAACTAAAAAAATTACGTGTATAAAATTACTTTCTTATCAGAAGGAGATGAGCATACATAAAACATTATGACACTTATCATTGATTATCAAAAACATTTAAAAATTAAGTTACATTTGTTTAAAAGAGTGTTATATATCTCCATGTTTACTTGCGACATCAGTATAACAAATCGAGATCCATGAAAGAATTTGATAGCCGAGAGAATATTTAATGGACCTTCGTCAAATCAGTAATGTTTATTAGATACAATTATCTATTTTATATCACAAATTATCTGAAAACTCTTGTGATAGCTGAGAGTAAATATGTAATAGATTGTAATAAAATCAAAATAGATATAACTGGGAAAAAGCAAAGTGTTTACCTCAAATCAGTGAGAATCTATATAGATTATGAAGGACTTTTGGATATTAGACTCATCACTCATATAAATAAATCATAAACAAAATTAAACTTGGGAAGATGCCAGATTTTGTTGTTTAGTGAAGCTGTCTTTAAATATTTGTTGACATCAGAAAAACAGTAGCAGAAACAGAATATAAACATTGAAGAGAACAGTTATCTTATTTTTCGGAGAAAGAGGGGATCATGGGAGATAACCACAATATGATCATGGGAAAGAAAATGATCATGGAGAAAAAATATTACACATGTAAATTCTATCAAATTTTGATCATAAATATAATATAAAATTTAAGTTTTTTTTTATTTTTTTGCTTTGTCAATTTTATTTATTTGCCACATGTAACCATATAATTGCTGAAGTGACGTGTGCTTTAGTAATATAAGAATTTTACGTGTTTTGACAAACTAACCCGTATAAGACTGTAATTATAAATGCATAACTCTAACCTGCTTCATCATATTATTATATAATATAAATATTTATTAATATTGAATATTTGATATTCTAGACAGATTTATCATGATAAAATATAATAAGATGTTTATTTAACATTTGTGATATTATAAAAAATGTATATATCTATAAATTGGCTAACTCGTTCGTTTAATTTTCTCAAATCATCTTAATATTTTACAAGTTTTAACAAACTAACTCGTATAGGACTTTAAGTATAAATACATAACCCTAATCAGCTCTATCATATTATTGTATAATATATATACATATTTATAAATTTTAAATATTTGATATTTTAGATCAATTGATTATAATAAAATATTAGATATTTATTTACCATTTTCATTATTATGAAAATATTATTTAAATTTAAAATATTAAATTAAATCTAACTTGTATTTAAAGAATTCTAAAGTAATTAAAATTATTATCTAAATTTTTGTAATAAAATTTAATTATAACTTTTTTGGTATTTCTTGAATTTTAAATTAAATTGAATCTAAATTTTTGTAATTAAATTATTAAAAATTTCGAATTATTTGAAATTTAAATTAAATGTGACTTATATTTAAGAAGATTTAAAAATAACTATATTAATAACTAAATTTAGAAATTAATTATATTTAATACTTAAATTATATTAATTTTGATCAATACAAAAACTATTTCCAAACAGATTTATAAAAAATTTGAAAGTGTTTGGAAACAATTATTAAAAGTGTTTCTATTTTAATAGAATAGATTAACTAACACTCTGTTTAAAAAAAAAAAATTGGAGCAGTAGCCACACTCACCCGCCATAATAAATTAATAATATATTAAAAAATAAGGGGCCCCGGTTAAATAAAATGTTGGTTTGGTCTATTTGGTATACACTATAAATATTGTGTGATCAAGCTCTTCTTCTTCTCTCTGTGGCTTTCATCCGAACTAGAGGAAGACGATGAATCTGACTCAGAATCAGACTCGGAACCAGGAATATCAGATCCAGACGATGGCCCTGATTCTGATTTCTCAACTTGCTTGTGTTGTTGTATGATGAGGCGTGGCATGTTCTTCAGGTACTCTCTGAGATTCTCTGTGATGCCTCCAAGACCAATGGAAGTAAAGAAGTTGATTGCAAACCTCGTGTTCTTTGGATTATCTTTAGGGAATATGGACTCAAGTGATTCCTGCATTGTTGAATCCTGAAGCCTCTCCTTAATCAGCCTAATCCCCAAGTGTTCTGACAATTCCTGAAAAAGGATCTTAATAAAGATACGAGATGAGGAAGTTGTGTCTTCCTCGGTTAACCGTATGTAGGCAAGCACATGCCAAGGAAGTGCATTTGTGCCCAATAAATGGGCGAAGAACTTGGCCACATTACGCAACTTGTTTGTCTCGAGACGATGGATCATGGAATACTGCTGAACAAAACATTTCTCAAAATTCTCTTGATGAATTTTGTAGATCATACAGAAACGCTGACCCAACAATCCAAAGTAGCGCAGATATGTTCTCTCTTGGGAACAACATTCCAGGAGCATTATGCATAGTTCCATCTCTTGATCTGGTTCAAGTTTAATTTTAAGTAACTTGTGACCTGCTTCCTCAAAATCAACGCTGGACATTATGGTCAGGTATATTGTCTTCCTTAGATTAACACGATTAGTCTCTGTCTCGTCTCTTATTCTCATTTGTTCTTCATCAGACCCATTTTCCTCCTCATCATTATCCTCTGAACTAGCAACAGAGCCATCTTCATCCTCAGACTCCTCACCAAGTAAGTCCTTCTTCAGCGCCTCGTACTTTTTTTCCGTCTTAAGGAAGTCAGAATCAGGTTTGAAAACATCCAGAGAGGTTTCAGGATTTATGTCATCATCAAGAGATACATCATGCGAATATTTTTCTTCCACAAGATCTAGCTCAGGACGAACAGCCGGATGTCCATGAAACCTTGCTTGCCTTATAGCAAAGAGCCCTTCAATCAAATACTGAACTCTCTTATCTATCTCTCCCTCGTGCAGTATACCGAGAAACCGCTCAAAAATCCCAAACAATCCTTTTGGTGTAACGTCCTGAAGCATCGCACCACACTCTGTCACGAATGCAACAGCCACCTCGACACTGTCATCAGTCGGATCTTTTAGAAGTAAAGTGACTAGTTCAAGAGCAATGTTCTCCTCAGCGACTTGCTGGTTTACTAGATGTGCTATAAGTTTTACGGCTGCGAGTAATTGAGGCTTGTCATTACGCTTATACGCTCTCTTTAGCTGCAAAACGACCCTTTTCAATAGAAGTTGAGCAACTTGAGGGAATTTGGCGTTAATAACAGCGACTAAAGCTGCAAAGACATCAGTGAATCCAGGAGATGCCATTTGAGACTTCATACATGACCGGCAGAAAAGTCCCCTTCCTCTGATGAGATTTTCCGCAAACAGTTCAGGGATTATGTCCTTAATATTGCTTGCATTGACCTTATTCACCAGTCCATTAATACTTTTACGGAGTGCGTCCCATGTAAGACGCTGCTACTCTACACTGCTCTTGTCTTCCACCTCCTTCGTCATGCGTGCTAGCTTAAAAGGAGGAATATAAACTCCACCAGTTTTTCCCAAAGCCATATCATTGTTATCAGATGGATTGAGTTCTGGCAACTTGTGCTTTGCAACTTTACTCTTCTCTTCCCTTTGCCTGCTGTCTTCCTTTCTCAACTTGTCTCTTTGACTATCATCATCATATCTATCACTGTGTCTCCTCCCCTTTTCATCTCTAGCTCTATCGTCCCTCCTATGCCTATCCTTCCTTTCAACATGCCTCCGCCGTTTCCCGTTCTCATGCCCAACAGACCAGTCTCTCTCCCAGCTCCGATCCCTCTTTAAAAGCTTCTGCCTATCACCTTCTTCATCAGAAGGTTTATCTGCTATGACTCTGCTACCCCTATGACTCCTCTCTCTATCCATATTTTTTGGGCTTCTCGTGAAGGAAATTGTGATTTCTCTCTTTTACTAATTCTTCTCTCTGTTTTTGTGATACATTAAATCTTAAGCCTATAACTCTATTTATAGAGTTGTGATTCTGTCCCAGAATACTAAATTGTTATTTCTTAATTGTTACAATTTCCTTTTTTTTTAAGAGAACCTGATTTTCTTTGTTGCTTGCTTCATTTCTTTTTCCTTTTTTTTTCTTCTTTTCCTTTTCCTTGATTTTGTTTTTTTTAAACTTGTTATTTCATTTCTCTCACATAAAAGGAATCTATTCCAACATCTCTTCCTTTTCAATTAATTAATCATCCTCAGCCTCCTCGGTTTCCTTTTTATTCCCCTTCAAATCGTAGTCTTCATCGTCCAAGCCTCTACCACCCTTTCTTTCACCTTCAGTTTCATTTGAAAATGCTTCTCATCTTCTTCATTAGAGAGTTTTTTAAAACAGATGCTTGTAACACTTGTGCTCTCTTTTAGGGCATATATAGGAACACGAAACAATATGTGATATATATCATTTGATATTTACGGAAATTTATTCAACTTTTCTTCTTGTTTATTATTAATATACAATTTTTGTCCTTCTAAACCTTTTTTTCCGTTTGTTCATGGGTTTGCTGGAACTTTTTAATAAATAGAAGTAGCACGCATGAATGTCTTTCTCAAGCTTCAATCAATCAATTTGCCTTTGCTGCTAAAACTAGTTCTGTAATATTAAATCAAGGGCTTGGTTTATCGCTAACTATATCAAATTAGTCTATGTTTTTCTTCTGGATCTCATCCATATGCGATCCATCTTCATCACTTCATAAGAAAGATTATTATTCGGAAATGAGTCAACCGACAGACAACAATTTATTCTCCGTTTTCAAATTAATAATTTATGTTTCTTTTGTTTTGGTCAAACAGAAATTATAATGCTAATTATATGAGTAAAAAAAGCTTAATTTTTGGCGTATACCTAATCGGCTAATCGTATAAAAAAGATTAAATTGAAGACGTAAAATTTCCACAAAAATCTATACTATTATTTGTGAGGTTAAAAATTTGATGTATTGTCTTCACAGCGATTGTCCTATATGTCATTATTAAAAAATATTATGTGGCATTTTAATTTGTTCTGATAGGTCGATCATTAATCTTACGTGGAAATACATGTGACATATTTTTTTTCCTTCGATTATGGGTCAGCGATTTTGTTTATGGGCTACTAATGTCAAAGTCAGCCCTAGCCATTGATTGTAGTTATGGACCACCGATATCAAAGTCAGTATTAATCTATACTCTAGTGTATCCATTGTGCTATATATATACTCCTCTCGGTTTTCAGGCTTTTTTACATACGTCCGTCTTCTAAAGTCTAACATCTTTTTAAAAAATTCATCTGCGTCTTTTTAAAGATCAATATATACTATTATTTATTTATTTCTGTAATGACAATCTACTATTTTTTTTTATAGTTCATACTTCACTAATTGAATATTTCATCTCCCGTCTTACAATATAATTGTCAGGTAAATAAATTGAAATGAAGTGAAAGAGAGAGAGAGAGAAAGAGAGAAAGAGAGAGAAAGAAAGAGAAATGGTAGAGAGAGTTAAACCTTCTTGGTACATGATATTTAAAGTCTATGTTAGTTCGTATTTTCTGTGTTCCTATTTTTTTATATTCGAAATACTTCTTACCTTTAAATTTAGTTATCTAAATCGTATGATATATATAATTTTGAAAGAGGGAGAAGGGAGAGAATGAGAGAGAAATATTGAAAGACAGAGAAGGAGGGACGCATGGATGGGGAGAGAGAGGGAGTTAAAATTCTCAAGTACATATATTTGATTGATATAAAAGATTAAGGAAAATAAGAAGAATATGAAGTAGGAGAGAATTAAGAAGATGAAGGCGATGAAGAAGAAGAAGAAGTAGAATAGGAAGAAGATGAGGAAAACAGAAAACAAAAAAAAAATGTGATAAAAAAAAAACTTAAAGAATAAGAAGTAAGAAAAGAAATATAGAATGAAGAAAGAGAAGGAAAAAAAAAACGAAAGAAAACTAAGAAGAAGACGTGAGAGAAGAAGGAGAGATAAAGATGGAAGACGATAAAGAAATAAAAGGAAATGACGATAAAGAAGACAAACGAAAAAGATAAATAAGAAGAAAAAATAAGATGAAAAACAATTATGTGGAGACGAAGAACTCGTTTTTGTCTTAATTCAATTGGGTTGTGAGTTCAATACATTTATCTATTAAATATTTTTGTAATTTTGGATGGTGTTTACTTTTTGATTTGATTTATTTTATCATGTATCTCTTAAATAATTTTTTTTCAAAATTTTTTTCGGTTTTTAGTTTATTACATTGAAATTTTTATGTCCGCACAGAGTGCGGGCCAAACACCTAGTACTACTATTAAATGTAGCCATGTCGTGGCCGCCAGACCATTGACGACTCGTTGTTTTTCGTCATTGACTCATTGCCACTTTTCCACGATGCAACTGTCATATTTTCCAAACCTTAACTCATTGATGCCAAAAATTAACCTGCAGATGTTATATATCTTGACAAATCTGTTAATATAATATTCTTAAAAATGGTCGGGGTATATAGTGTGGTGGTCATGTGACCATTCAGATCACATCAAGTAGATTTTTTTTTTTTTTTTTTTTTTGCAGAAAGGGGAAAATGCCTTTGGATGTAGAACCTTAGGAAGCACGAAATTTACCTTTAAATTCAAGCTTTTTGAGGCACCATTGAGCTTTGATAGATTCTTGATGCTCCACTTTCCCAAATTCTTTCAGTCTTCTTCTTGAGTGACTGAAAACCATGTTGCTCCTCTTTTTCTGGCGTTTTTGCACATATCTATCGATATAAACTAAAGAGAGAATGCATGAGATTTAAACATAAAAGTTTGGGTAAAGAGTGTGGTACCAGCTAAACATGAACTAGGCATCTAGGACAACAAAGAGTGGTAATAATGATGTAAAGATGTCCTAAATGTATATCATGATGCCTGCTAAAACCAATGACGAGAAATTAGATGTCAAGATTATGTTCAAGTGAAATGAGCTAGTCTATCTGATGTAGCGACATCTACTTTATCTTTTACGTGTTTTACAAGTTTTCTATTTAATGGTTATTTACGGGTTTTAAACTATTTCTTTTTCCTTATTGAACTTCTGTTTATTGATTAGGGCTTTAGTTTTGGCTTACGGTCGGCTTAGACCACCTCTATATAAGGTTTTGTAATCCTTTGGGAATAGTTAGTTGTTTATCGAATAATAAAGAGTTTTCTCTTGATTAAAGTCTTCGAATTCTCCCTGTCTAACAAAGAATTTTGAGCATCAAACAGATCCTCTTGATCCATAGATCCTCGAGACTCTGTTTTGATATTTATCCGCTGCAACAGTTGGTATCAGAGACAAACAGATCCTAATCATGCCGCCAAAGAAGAATCTTCAACAGCAATTGGACGAACACAATGAGGCTTTTTGCGAAACTCTAGCCGAGTTCAGCGATAATCTTCGGGAATCTCTGCGGGTTACGATGGAAGCAGCCCTTCGCACGGCTCTTCAACCGCAAAACGCCGCACAACGTGTTCCTCGGCGTGAAGAACCTATCTTTGAGGATGATGAAGAAGAAGATGTTAACGTCTTTGCAAATCAATTTGGTCAGCACGGTGACGTGAATCCGCATGGCGTTAACCACCAGCGCGAGGTTATCGCAGCTCCACGAGGTGATCATCGATGATGGGATGCTGGTTTTAAGCTCGATTTACCAGAATTCAGTGGTGGCATCCAACCAGAAGAATTTATCGACTGGATTAATACAACCGAGGAATTACTGGAGTTTAAAGAAGTGCCTGATCCGATGCGTGTGCCTCTGGTAGCAACACGTTTTCGTGGGTGTGCTTCTGCTTGGTGGCAGAAATTAAAAGCGTCAAGGGCTAGAGAAGGGAAAAACCGCATTACGTCTTGGGCGAAATTGACAAAGTTGATGCGAAAAGCTTTTCTTCCTTATAATTACACTCATACTATGTACACGAAGCTCCAGAATCTGCGACAAGGAAGCCGTTCTGTTGACGACTATGCGTCTAAATTTTTTTTCTCTTGGCTCGTAATGTACTTCATGAAAACGAGGAACAAAGGGTCTCGCGTTTTATTGGTGGCTTACGCGGTCCAATTCAAAGTACATTACTTCAGTTTGATCCATTAACAGTGTCAGAAGCTCACCAACGCGCGGTCTTGATTGAACAGCATTCGCGAAACCAAGCTTCTTCGTGGAACTCTCAGCGCACTCGTTTCAGTTCCACTCTCGACCAGACTTTGTCAAAGTCAATGGAACAACTGAAACTAACAGATGGGACAGAGGGTAATGTGGCGATGGGTTCACAGCGTCCGACCAATGTCAAGTGCTTTAAGTGTGGTGAATCTGGTCATCGTCAAGCGGCGTGCCCTTCTTTGCAGCGTCGAGGTTTGTTAATCAAAGATGACTCTGTGTTTGATGAATATGGTGATGATGAAAACGTTGTCACTGAAGTCGATGAGCAAGTAGCGGGTGACACTGGTCCTCTATTGGTTCTACGCCAGAACTTTCTCACTCCTCAAGGCGTCGAGGAATTTTGGCTATGAACTAACATCTTCCAATCGACATGTATAATTCGCGGGAAGGTGTGTCGTCTCGTCATTGATTCGAGAAGTTGTACTAATGCGATTTCGGAGGAAGCTGTCACAAAGCTTGCTCTGTTTACGGGACCGCATCCTTCTCCCTACAAGATTGCCTGGTTAAACTCCACTACGGACATTCGTATTTCTAAACGGTGTCGCGTGCCGTTCTCTATCGGCCTCAATTACAAGGATTTGGTGTGTTTCAACGTCGTGCCTATGGATGCATGTCATCTCCTTTTGGGGCGTCCCTGGCAGTTCGATCGTCAAACTATTCACAATGGGTTCAAGAATACCCATATTTTGACTTATGAAGGTCGGCGTATTACTCTGCTTCCATCACAAACTGCTACTGAGCCCCTCGTGCAGAGCAAGGAACTCGAGTCTCCTCCTGTTTCGGTGGACACTCCCAAACCAGCTTTATTAATATCAAAGGCTGAGCTCTTGACGAGTACATAGCGACATATGTTGTTTTTCTCCTGTGTCTCAAGCCGCAACTCCTATCGGTAATCTCTGAAGCTCCTTCCAGTTTTCATGCGTTATTAACAGAGTTTCAGGATGTGTTTCCAACAGAGTTACCGGATGGTTTGCCTCCTTTGCGTAATATCCAGAACTGCATCGATCTAGCTCCTGATTCCGTTTTGCCTAACCGTCCTCACTATCGCATGAGTCCAAGGGAACATGATGAATTGCGAAAACAGGTGGAAGATCTCCTTGCCAAGGGTTACGTACGTGAGAGTCTCAGACATTGTGCTGTTCCGAAGAAAGACGGGACTTGGCGTATGTGCGTGGACAGCAGAGGCATTAATAAGATTACAATTCGGTACAGATTTCCGATTCCGCGTCTTGATGATCTTTTGGACCAAATCGGTTCAGCCTCTCTTTTTACCAAATTGGATCTTCAAAGTGGTTATCATCAAATCCGTATTCACCCTGGTGATGAATGGAAGACGGCTTTCAAGAGAAGAGAAGGGTTGTTTGAATGGCTTGTTATGCCTTTTGGTTTGTCTAACGCACCAAGTACGTTTATGCGTGTGATGAACGAAGCCTTGCAGCCATTCATTGGGCGATTTGCGGTGGTATATTTCGATGATATACTCATCTTTAGTGCGTCGTTGGACGACCACTTGAAGCACCTGCGTGATGTTTTGTTAGTTTTGCAACGAGAACAGCTGTTTGCTGCGACAAAGAAATGCGTTTTTGGTGTGGATCAAGTTCTCTTCTTGGGGTACATTGTGTCTTCGCGTGGCTTAGAAGTATTGAGCTAGGTCCATAAGTCTCTCTAAGTTAATTCGGTATCGGCCCAAGACTTATGGAAACAAAGAGAAGAGAAGCCCAAGAAGAAAGAGATATTTTGCTGTGAAGAAAGGATTCTGTCCGTACGGTGGTCCCGTGTCTCGGATCAGTCAAGATGACCGTTAGGTCCTGTCACTATCAGACTTGATCCGAGACAAAGCTTGTCTCTTTAGTCACGTGTTTTCTTTGTTCTCTTTGTCCCAAAATAGCTGGAATTTAACCTAGTTAGCTCTCTATATATGTTCCTTGTAGCCGCAACATTGATAATACACTTAATGAGAAAATCATTTCTCTTCATCTGTTCATCTTTCGTACTCTATTTTCCCTCTTTATTTCCGCAAATTCA